GGATGAGCCCCTGAGATAAGGAAACACGCGATTTGTCAATCATCGATATTCATGGCCATGTGTTGATTGCAATTATTCTGTTTCACGTAAAAGACATTAATTTAGGCTTTCACAATTATTAAAAAGCTCTATTACTATTTGATAAAAAGAAAAACAACAAAGTATTACTAAATATATACACAAGTTTTCAACAATATTTTATTGTCGAGTTCAATAGTCGCCGATGAAAGCTACAATTTCATATCTTTAAAGCGAGAATTTCATATTTTCTAAGAAAGTCAAAACATAATTATTTCTATGTCTTTTGCTCAATAGGTTATCAAATCACTATTATACGATCATGGGCATTATTTCCCACCCTTAAAAATCTATGACACAGGATATATCAACACAATTACCTCCCCTGTTTTGCTATTGACAACATGGGGCAGCCATTTTCCAACGTTAGAATTTGAAGTTAAAAATGATATTTTTGCCAATTTCTCAGCTGGCAATAGCGAATTATAGGATTAATAGGATTATTCTTTAACAAGGTAGGACTGTTTATGGATACCATCTATTTTAAGGCTTTATTTTAATACATTTTAAAAATATAACTTGAAAATTTGCAATTGCAACTTAAGTTATATTGTGTAATCGTATGTTGTTGATTGTTGTGTTTCTATATAACGTTTGACATTATCATACATGTATGTGCGATAAATTAGTGTAACAAAATATCTGCACAGGGTGTGACAATGACGGATTAGTATAGACGTCATTGGGATGTGACGATCATCGAACTGTATTATATACGATTCATGGTATGATATATTCTGGTATGCAGTCACGTGACTCACTCCATCGCAAATTAATCAAAATGGACGCACGACAAATAGAACGGAGTCGAGTGAGTGAACCTGTTTATTTATTTATTTATTTATATGTAATAATAATGCTTATTATTGTATATATAATACTGTCCAATGTAAATGTTATAGGTTTTCTCATTCGCCTCGGCGGTTTAAACGGTGTTTATTTCGATTTGACAGAAATTAGAAATGGGATATAAGAATGAAAGACATAAAAATGAAAACGAAAATAGGTTTAAGTTAAACTTTAACGCACTCCTTTTCTGTAATGACTGGACTAAGTAATGATGGCGGGGATATAAACACAAGACAAAGATGATTTTATTAATTTACTCCCTTTGTGTATGCAGGGACAGACTGGGTAGCTCTATGGTCTCGGTCCAACAATGGCTCCCATCGTCATGAACATTACGTAACATGACGAGAAAACGAAACTAGATTGATTAATCTTCCCCGGAACCCAATCACAAATGATTTTTCTTCCCGGAATTTGGCAATTATATTTTTAAGTGGATGCGAGGATGAATTTTAATTATTTCGAAATTAAATATGTCAAATTTATTTTTCAAGTGGGGGCGATGGGGCCCTGACACGTAGGCTACCGTTTAAAGCCCGCCTTCATTATCCCGTTTGGTACAGAAAGGTGGGACGTTAAACGCCATTTCATTTCATTTAAACTTAATATGAGATCTTGCACTACAAAACCAGTTACGTGCATTCATTATTACAAGTTATGCAAGATTTACCCAAACCTACCAACCCTAGTAAATATTAAATCCAACACTGATCAGTAGTGAATATTCGCGAGGCCGCTACAATCAATGATAAGGGAGAGAGAGAAGGGGGGGGGGGTTAACGTCCACTCGACACAAACTAGTTCATTTCGGGACTAACATATAGTCCAATTTTATTTCAATAATTCGCTTGCGCGTAGGGGTCTTTAGAAGTGGGAGGAAAGAGGAGGACCCGGAGAAAACCCACGAGGTTGGACAGGCGATCCTACTCCTTGTCACGTACAACCGGGGATTCGAAACCACGCCAGTCGACTCAATGACAGACTTTATGATACAGCGCGCGCACGCTAACCATTCAGCCATGAGTAAAAGGCAGCATTCTGCCCGATTTAGTAACGTCTTATGTAAACAATGCACGCGCCATTGAGCCAATGATTGACGTCGCGTGATGTGACGTCACGTGTTTAAGGCGGTCATCATTTTCAGAGATATTAGAATACTTTCGTAATCCTCTGTGAAACAGATTGACTAAGTCCCTGGTGTATAATAGTGGCTGCTGGCATTTGTGATTGGAATATTTTAGAGTGAATTTAAAATGCCGTATCATGCTGTAGATCAATTTAAGCTGCCTTTGTTTAAATAGGCCACGTGTCAAATAAAGATGACTCAAGAAATTAGCGCATTTACCGGTAATTTGGATAACCCCGTAATACTTGATATCACAAACTTAAGTACCGAAATACAAATGGTGCCAGTCATTTGTCGATATATTCATTATTAGCTATATATAATAATAATAACCATTTCTATGCATAAAGAACAACTACAGTGAATATGGAATTTTCCGATGACTATGCATAACATGTACAATAGATCGCACTCATTTCTCTGCCAATCAACGCTTGGTATCTTATTATTAGTACCGTTCCATGTACTACGGGTGTAGTAAATGAGGTTAAACTTCGTCGCGAAAACTGCACGGGATCATTCGTGGAGTTCCTGGTGACGTTTGGTGAGTGATTAAACTGTCAATGCAATTGTAAAATATATACTTTTATTATAAAGAAGATAACCGATGTTAGACATTATAACCTAATCGTATCAAAAACGTTAATCCATCCATCAATTAAATGTTGTTTAAACGCCAATCAACAAATAATACGAGGCTACTTGATAACAAAAACACCGGTGAGCAATAATTATTGGGTATATAGTAATTTTAAACAACTTATTAGTAAAACTTAATTATTTTATACAATAAATGTGTGTGTGTATGATTCTACCATTAGTTCGTTCGTGAGGTATTACGCACACGTTTCACTTAGAGTGATGTCTTTGATCTTCGCCGGCGTAAAAAAAGATAATTACCTAATCAACATTCTTAATCCCACTAACACTCACTGCTAACACCAACTTGAAATTAATTTATGACCCATGTCTGTATAACTTTGATAGTCGGATTGATTAATTAATGACAGATATGAACGACACTACACTTTATGTGGAAAAGCGAAGTGCTCGCAGTAAAAACCACATAGCTGGACCCGTATATTATTTACATATTAAAAGTGTTCGTCCAATAAGTTCCATATTGTAAAAAATTAATTAAGAGTTCAGGACTTCAAAGTTTAAAAGTTGTAGGCACTCTAAATTGGATCTTAAATTAAAATGAATTACAAAAGAAACTATTCCGTAGTCAATTGTTTTATTTAATTAGGGGGATTAAGGAATCCTTCAGGCGTTAAAGAATACACACGCCGGCTGTACATAGGTAATTAAGGAATAAACATTCCGAATATGCATTCGGTCACTGTGACGTCACTGGTGTCTGAGGGGATTAAGAGTGTTTTCGATAATTGGCAAAGCCGTTTTTACGGGAGGTCTATTTTTACGACTTTGAGTGAAGATAACTGAATTAATTTCAACCAGATTGGCGTGAAATTGCCGTGAAGTGGATATAGTAACCATTGGCTACACGTATCTCAAATTTTCCGGGACCATCTTATGTGCACTTTAATCATGAAAGGTGATGCAATCGACAGGTTGAATCGGGCGAAGCATTCGGCTAGTGTGTCCACCCAATCGGCCGAATAAAATTCGGCGCCGATTGATTCGGCCGAATCATTCGGCTAGTGTGTCCACCGCTTAAGCGAAAAAAATAATCGGTCGCAAAAAAAATGCAGTCGGTCGTGAAATAAGTGCAGTCGATCACAAAATAAGTGCTCACTGAATTAATGAGGTAAACCAACCATGCCAAAATAGAAGGAAAAATCCCAAATACATGTATGTATAAAATAACCATGTCAACTTATCATGATTGAAAAAAATGTTTTTTACACTTATTCTGTTGTGAATATGTTCGTCTAAGAAATTTGCCCCACCCCACCCCCAGGGAAAAATATTCGGTCTCAAAATAAGTGCTCACTGCAGTCGGTCTCACACTAAATGAATTAATGCGGTAAATAAACCGTGCCAAATAGAAGGGAAAATTTTTGCGTGATTCCGTGCACCTACATTGCACCGGTGTAGTATAAAATAAACTAGTCCCGAGGGAAAAAAATAGTCGGTCTCAAAATAAGTGCTCACTGCAGTCGGTCTCAGACTAAATGAATTAATGCGGTAAACAAACAGTGCCAAAACAGAAGGGAAAATTTTTGTGTGAATCCGTGCACCTAAATTGCAACGGTATAGTATAAAATAACCTAGTCAACTTATGTTTGAAAAAAAAATTCCTGTAATGAGGTTGTTAATCTAAGAAATTGAGGGAGCTTGTTCCGAAGATTTTGATAATTTAAATTATATTATTGATTGTCATACGGATAACATTAGTCGGACAGTTGGTAAGAAGTTATCGGAAGCATAGTTTGTTTCAGAAATACACAAAAAATCTTTAAATTATAAAATTATGCATATTTAATACCAGTAGAAATGAAAACGTATTTTACTCATGTAGCGTATTTTCTAATCATCAGAATTCTGTAAAGGCTTTCCCCAGATCCCGAAGTCCAGTAAATTACATTCCAGAGACCTAGTAATCGCCCCCGTTAGACAAAGTCCCTTCAGGCCCGGTCCCAAAACATTAAAAACTCAGTTACTAATATAGTTTTTTTTTGTGGGGTGTTATAGTGGGTAGATCCCTAGATTTGGAACCGCCCCACCCCCACCCCCTATTCCCAGCTTCTAGATCAGCTACTGACCCATAGAAACTTTCACCTGTGGTGCCGCCCCCTGACTGCGTCACTCGTATTAGGGGCATGTGCATCAGCTACCCCCCCCCCCCACACACACACACACACACACACACACCAAACAAAAACTTTATGTACGCCTCCGGTTTTCTCATAGAAGAAATATAGTAAAGACTTTGGCGCTATAGATTCCCTAACAATATAATTTTATTGTGGAATTTGGATCACTGATTGGAACATCTGTCCAAAAATGGTTCTGTATTTACAAAGATATGACGAATTAAAAATTAAAAATTATGCTTCCTATGTAACAAGACGGCACGAATCATCATTCTCCACATAAGTCTCGCTAGGGAAGACACTCAGTTTGGGAGATTGTGTAATCGTATGTTGTTGATTGTTGTGTTTCTATATAACGTTTGACATTATCATACATGTATGTGCGATAAATTAGTGTAACAAAATATCTGCACAGGGTGTGACAATGACGGATTAGTATAGACGTCATTGGGATGTGACGATCATCGAACTGTATTATATACGATTCATGGTATGATATATTCTGGTATGCAGTCACGTGACTCACTCCATCGCAAATTAATCAAAATGGACGCACGACAAATAGAACGGAGTCGAGTGAGTGAACCTGTTTATTTATTTATTTATTTATATGTAATAATAATGCTTATTATTGTATATATAATACTGTCCAATGTAAATGTTATAGGTTTTCTCATTCGCCTCGGCGGTTTAAACGGTGTTTATTTCGATTTGACAGAAATTAGAAATGGGATATAAGAATGAAAGACATAAAAATGAAAACGAAAATAGGTTTAAGTTAAACTTTAACGCACTCCTTTTCTGTAATGGCTGGACTAAGTAATGATGGCGGGGATATAAACACAAGACAAAGATGATTTTATTAATTTACTCCCTTTGTGTATGCAGGGACAGACTGGGTAGCTCTATGGTCTCGGTCCAACAATGGCTCCCATCGTCATGAACATTACGTAACATGACGAGAAAACGAAACTAGATTGATTAATCTTCCCCGGAACCCAATCACAAATGATTTTTCTTCCCGGAATTTGGCAATTATATTTTTAAGTGGCTAGCACAATTCCGCGATAGTTACAAGCGTCCTCATGCTCCCCTTCTTATGTATTGCGACTATGAACGATTCGCGCCACTGTTCGGGAAAGCTCCCAGATTCAAGAATTAGATTGAAGAATTTTATATACACATCAATCATGTACTCACATGATGCAAGAAGCATCTCATTTAGTATTAAGTCGGGCCCACTAGACTTATTCCTCTTTAGTCCCGTAAAAGCTTTTCGAACTTTAATTGCAGTTATCTTTGAGTTTATTTCCTTATTAGTTTTGTTTGATTCTAGAAGTAAATTGATAGCATCATCTGTTTCTTCACATTGTTGTTTGACATGGTTTTATCTTTGAATAGAGTTTTAAAGTGTCTTTCCCAACTATCAATGGATATGCCCTCATTCTTATCATCCCCGGGGTTTTCTTTAATTAACGAGTTTATTAGTTTCCAGTATTCTTTCGGGTTTTGACTCTGAATTTCATTAAGTTTTTCTAAAATACTATTTTTGGCTTGGCGACTTTTAAATTTGGTAATTCTCTTGTACAGTTTTTTCCTACTATAGTAAATCTTTCTTAATATATTGTCAGTTGGGTTATCGTTTAGTTTAATTTGTGCGGTCATCATATCATGGCTTAATCGTTCGCAATCTAGGTCAAACCATTTATTTTTTTTTCGCCGTTTCTTTATGGTTACTAATTTAACACAGGCCCTACTGGCATTAATAAGAATATTATTGTCCCCCGCCTTTCGAAGAAAGCAGGGGACTATTAAAATGGGTTCGTCCGTCTGTCTGTCCGTCTGTCTGTCCGTCTGTCCGTCCGTCTGTCTGTCCGTCACACTTTTTGGGACACAATAACTCTCTTCCTAATTGAGCTAGAATGTTCAAACTTGGTGTATGTGTTTATTAGGTCAATGCCTTGATGGAGTTCGAAGATGAGCATTTTCCGCTTAGGGTAAGCAGAGATAAGCAATTTGATTGGTTGATGCTTTGGGACACGATAACTCTCTTCCTAATTGGGCTAGAATGTTCAAACTTGGTGTATGTGTTGATTAGGTCAATGCCTTGATGGAGTTCGAAGATGAGCATTTTCCGCTTAGGGTAAGCAGAGATAAGCAATTTGATTGGTTGATGCTTTGGGACACGATAACTCTCTTTCTAATTGGGCTAGAATGTTCAAACTTGGTGTATGTGTTTATTAGGTCAATGCCTTAATGGAGTTCGAAGATGAGCATTTTCCGCTTAGGGTAAGCAGAGATAAGCAATTTGATTGGTTAAAACTTTGGGGCACGATAACTCTCTTCCTAATTGAGCTAGAATGTTCAAACTTGGTGTATGTGTTGATTAGGTCAATGCCTTGATGGAGTTCGAAGATGAGCATTTTCCGCTTAGGGTAAGCAGAGATAAGCAATTTGATTGGTTGATGCTTTGGGACACGATAACTTTAGTTCTAATTAAGTGAGATTGATGAAACTTGGTGTATAGTTTCATTACAGTAATACCTTGACTAAGTTTGATAATGAGCATTTTCTGCTCAGGGTAAGCAGAGCGATACGCAATTTGATTTTTATATGTGTCCTCTAATTATTTTCCTATTTCGGCGGGGGACATCAGCCTCACTGTTGGCTTGTTGATATTGGAGGTTGCCAGCTGTATGTCATCTTGATTAGGTTTTAGATCCGTCACCATGAATTGGTTAATAGATGTACAGGAGTTTGGTTTATGTAGCTCAATCAAGAAGGCTTGATCTGAGTTTCCTGCCAGACAAATTTTTTAACTAACTTCTTTTTCCCTATAAGTCACAATTTTTATCCGATTTTAGCTTGTGGACCCTATAGAGGTCATAATTTTTATCCGATTTAAAAAACGTATTATTATATCACCGTTACACCCTAAGGATGGCTGAGTTCGAATTTCGTGAAAATCGGCCAAAAACTGACAAAGTGGCCGCCCTTCCTTCTCAAATAGGGTAAAAATATGGTATATCAAGGTTGTGGACCCTATAGAGGTCACAAGTTTTATCCGATTTTGTTGAAACTTGAAATGTAAGTTTATAACCCAAGGATCTCGGTTCCTTTCGACATTCGCGCTTATCGGACCATATATTTCTGGATTATGGACGCCGATTGTACAAAAAATCACATTATTATTTTTTTTTTTACTCGTTCTTTGTCCATCTCTTGCAAAGTGTGGGCGTATTTTGCATGGTAACTTCTTGTTGAATTGCTCCATCTATCTCGCCATGCTAAGATTTTCAAATGATTGTTCATGTGTCTGGTGTGAGTCGCGTCGGAAAATGAAATGAAATGAAATGGGGTTTAATGTCCTACTGTTCTGCTCCTATACTGGGCTAATGAAGACGGGCATACGCCATACAGTGTGCTATGAGGGAAATTTTGCCCGGGCAGCGGTACTATCGCCTACTCTTATATCGAATTCCAACTGCCAAGGGTTCTTTTACGTGCATTCCAATGTATACACGGGACCTCGGTTTTTCGTCTCGTCCGAAGGACTAGACATCTGGCCTGTACCGTCTTCACAAGATTTTATGAGTTTGAAAATGAAAATGAAATGAAATGGGGTTTAACGTCCTACTGTTCTGCTCCTATACTGGGCTAATGAAGACGGGCATACGCCATACAGTGTGCTATGAGGGAAATTTTGCCCGGGCAGCGGCACTATCGCCTACTCTTATATCGAATTCCAACTGCCAAGGGATCTTTTACGTGCATTCCAATGTATACACGGGACCTCGGTTTTTCGTATCATACGAAGGACTAGACAGCTGTCCTTGTCAGGCCCTCCGCCCTGCATCACTGACAAGGGGGAACCACGCCGGAAAATCTGGATGAACTTTCTCGGCCAATGCAGGGATCGAACACCCGACCTCCAGGCTAGCGAACCAGCGTCTTACCCACTTAGCCACGTGATCCCCTGAGTCGTGTCGGACGTCACGGAACTTTTTGAAGTATGCATCAAGCACCAATCCATACGCGGCTAAGATAACCTTTTTCACTTCCTCATAATCACTGGAATTTTCAAATGAAATGGCCGCGAAAACATCCTGGACTTTGCCCAGCAAATTTCTCACAATTAGAATTGTCCAGTATTCGGTCGGCTATTCCAAGCGAAGTTCAGGAAGAAACTTTCCACTTCATGCTCATGGAATTTAGGCGCGCACTGAAGGGCGGCACCCAATTCTAACTTAAGTTCTGACCTCGCACCCCTGACATTATGCTATCTCTAGAGGTCATTTCCAATGCTAATCTCCTTAGTTCCAATTCGTGGATCATTTCCCTCTCCCGAGCCCTTCTTTCACCAGCCCACAGCCCGTCTTTTAGTGTCTACTTCCAACTCGTGTGCCATTTCCCTTTGCCATTCTCTTCCCTCTATTTCCATTCTTTGGATCTGGTCATATTATCGAGAAAATTCATATATAGGCTGTGATTTAGCCCCAAAAATCGTTTCATCTCGTCCCAGCAAATTCCGGTTGAAAATCTGACGCTTTGTTACATAATTTAACCAGTAGGCCGTCACTGTCGCATACTTTTCTGTTCCAATGCATTGCACAATACGTCTTGCACTTGAATTACGTCTCGAACTATATTTGTCAAGTGTAGCCATAATCGGGTGAAAAAATCAAATTCTAAGCCAATCAGAAACCATAAAAGCAAAGATCGTCATAGGTCAAGGGTCAATAGCCATAAATAGACCAGTGAATACCTTTTATGAGACGGAACACGTTGGATTGTTTACATTTGCCTGAGAGAATTTCTCTGCAAATATGCCGGGATTACTGGATAATATCACCTGTTAAATGTCGCATTGACACGGTAAAGACGACTTACCCCTGATCTGTGGCATAAATATGGCCAATAATTAGGAAATAGCACCAATGATTGAATGAATCTTTTATTTTCTGGAAACAAGTATTTCTTCAAAACTATTTCAGTGAAGCAATAGCCAAAAGAAATATATACTTAATACAGATGAAAACGATTTTGGCATGCTTGAAATACTGGTTCCGTCTTATAATTATATATAATGCTAAGAAAAAACAAAAATAATAATACCATGTGATCTGATCGATACAATTAATAATAATTCACCTTCATCAATTTTACTATTTTTTTAAAACGAGAAAACAATAGACTTATTATAAGAGTATAGAGAGAGAGAAATGGGGTTTAACTTCCACTCGACCCAAACTAGGTAATTTTGGTTCAATTTTATTCCAATAATTCGCTTGCGTGTAGTGGTTTTTACCAGTGGGAGGAAACCGGAGGACCCAGAGAAAACCCATGAGGTTGGACAGGCCACCCTTCTCCTTGTCAAGTACAACCGTGGAATCTAAACCACGCCAGTGGACTCAATGACAGACCTTATGATATGCTACCCATTCGATACCCAATCCCCTATAAGAGAGTATAAGATTACATTTATTTAAAGAAAGAAATTAAAAAAAATAAACAAATGCAATTATATAAATTTCCTCGTACACAACAATACTATACACCAGTGACCACTAGTATTAATGAAAAATGTATATAATAATAATAATAACATCATCATTTTTTAAAGTGTATTAATACTGGAGAACGGTTTCTAATGTGCTGTTCAGGTTCTTATATTCACAGAATACATGTATTTACACAGAGATCAGGTCTTGTGCCCATATACACAGTACAAAATTGAAAGATATATACCAACCAGTAAATAAAAGTACATATAAGAGAAAAACAAACAGTAATTACCTAAGTAAAATGGTTCTAGTAAAATGAATTAGAAATGAAATGGTCTAATGAAGATGGGCATATACGCCATACAGTGTGCTATAAAGCAAATTTTGCCTGGGCACAGCACTATGGCCTACGTTTATATCAAATTACAACTGCCAAGGGATCTTTTTATAGGTTTGCCTAAAGTGATTGTTGTGACCATATCCTAATAAATAGATTTATATAATTAAAACAATGTTATATAAGTACTGTGTTTCATTTTAGGTCAGTCCGAGCTTTCTACATTCCAACAGTACAAATCACATCTGGGTGTTTAGTGCAATAGCAGAATTAATAGGTAAGCCTAATGTATAATTTTACTCGGAACACACTTCTATTGCTCGACGTTATCATCAGGTATGTTATACATTCTACTTCTCTGCGCCGACTAGGCTAATGAAGACGGACATACGCCATACAGTGTGCGATGGGGGAATTTTGCCCGGACATTGGCGCTACGGCCTACTCTTATAACGAATTCCAACTGTTAAGGGTTCTTTTACGTGCACGTCAATATGCCCATTGCCAGACCCTCCTCCCTTCACCACTGACATGGTGGAACCAAACCGGAAAAAAAACCAGATGAACTTTCTCAGCCAACACTGAACCACCGCAGCTACCTCCATATGGCGTTTGACCGCTCACATTTGTTTGTGGACACCACAGGACGTCACAATTGTCGTTATTAGAAGACGAATAGTATTGATACTATATGGATAATCAGCGTTCTGCGACCTTTCGTTCCAGAGTTATACCGCCTTTGCCGATATTAGCATGCATCGGACCGTAAATTCGACGATTATGCCCCCTGTTTGTACGAAACATCAGGAGTTTAGCTTGTGCACCTTTTAGAAGTCACTATATTTATCCGATTTTGATCAAATGTAATTTAAATATCCCTGTTCCATTAGATATTGGCGACTGTAACTTCCTGGATTATGGCCCCTGCTTATGCGAAAAATAGCCTTTTTAGCCACAGGTACATGGGGACAGGCACTATATGGTGGACCTATATGTGATTTTTTTCAAAATATTTTCATGATTTTCTGGGATTTCTTCTTAATATTTTTCTTCCAATTTGGCGCTAAATAATATAATATTTACTATCAAACATGTTCGTATTAAAAATCATACCTTCTGCCTATATAATAAAAGAGAAAGGTGAGACACTTTTCTGTTGACATTTTTTTCTCCGTGAGGTACCCCTGTCACTATTTAATTCAAAATCGTGAATAAAATTGTCTTGCCTTACAAATCAACCACTTGGTTCCCTTCGATATATATTTCTTTCGATAAAAACACATATTTCAAATTTTTAAAAAAAATGCTTAGTCAGTTTATTTGCCATAAATCACCTTTCTCTTTTATTAGATACAGCAGAAGGTATAATTTTTTTTTTATATACTAACATGTTTGATAGTAAATATTATATGATTTAGAACCAAATAGGAAGAAAATAAAGAAGATTAAAATTTTTGAAGAATATGAAGGAAAAAAAACAAAATCAAAAATTTTGAAAAAATCACATAGGTAAGAAGGGCGTTCCTGTCCTCATGTACCTGTGTTTTTAGCTTGTAGACCCGCAAGAGGTAACAATGTTTTATTTGATTTTAAAAAGCGTTCAAGTACATAAATGAAGATAGTGTTTGAATTTCGTGAAAATCGGACAAAATGGCGACTCTCCGTTCTCAAATAGTGTAAAAATATGTAATACAAAGTTATGTTTATGTCCCAAAGGTCTCTTTCGATATTTGCACATATCGGGCCGTAACTACCTGGATTAAGGACAATGATTGTACAAAAAATAATCACGTTTTTAGCTTGTGGTCCACAAGGTTACATTTTTTTTATCTGATTTTGATTAAGCTTAAAATATATGCTTATATCCCAAAGATCTCGGTTCCTCTTGATATTGATGCATGTTGGACCGTCACATCCTGGATTATGGCCCCTTATTGTACGAAATTTCTTGCAAAATGTAGCCGTATCTTGTGTAGCAACTGCTTGTTAACAGATCTGTTTCAAATTTGGTCAGTACGATTTCAAACTCAGAGAAGCACTTTAATCAAATCAGTCTAGAAAACAATTTACTAAATGGATAACAGCAATTTTTTGTAAACAGTATGTTGACACATTAGTGATTAATTCATCACAATTTGTAAAACATTACGAGAAGGTTTCAGAGTCTGTATACAATCTATACACCCGTGTCTGGTGTGTCCACCGCGAGTATAAATAACAGCAGCGCAGCGTCAGTACATGGAGTGGACCAGACGATTGATGGCTGCCATTAGCACCTGGAACCATACTCTCAGAAAAGTCTGGCATAATCCATCGGCTGTGTTTGGTCTCGTGTTCCCCTGAGCTGTCCCGAGTCGTGGCCTGCTGTAGACGTTGTAGTGTGAATGATTCAACCATGTATGGGGGGTGCATTTTATAGGGCTGGTCCCGGTGAACAGCATGTGCAGCATTAGTTACTGTTTAACGTTACAATTGATACAGTCTAAGAATCCTTACGCAAGTTCGAATAGGTTCAAACGCACAATTGTCAACACATATCATTACAGTTTGTATTGAAATAAGTAATTCTATCACAAATAGTGAAGACTGGACCACTAAAATAGGTACCGCAACTTGGAAAGGCACACCAAAAAACAACTTGACAACAATGCGACAGACAATTTTTCCTGGTTTATTTTCCGACACTACAAACTCACTTTTTCAAAGAGTCAAACGAGGGAGATAATTGGGTCGAGATCAATAAGTCTCTCACACATACCAACCTGACGTTTCTTTTGCTGCTTATATATGTTCTCCATTATTCAGATAATGCGTATGATCCCGATGTCAATGCTAAAGGTTTATGGATTGATAAAGAAGAGTTAGGCCTATCAAAGAAAACTTGTTTAACTATTACTGATAATGGATCAGGTTTAGCTCCTGATAAATTACTAAAGATGCTAAGGTTTGTGAGAAGAATTGAATTTTTGTTTTTCTGATGGTTACCAATATAACATCATGACGCTAATTTTACCTCGATTTATGATATAAGACATCTATAATATATTTCAGATTCTCAAAATCTTATTGTATATTGGATTATGATGATTATCAAAGAAAGCAGGGGACTATTAAAATGGGTTCGTCCGTCTGTCTGTCCATCTGTCGGCCGGTCCGTCCGTCACACTTTTTGGGACACAATAACTCTTTCTAATTAAGCTAGAATGCTCAAACTTTGTGTATGTGTTTATGAGGTCAATGTCTCGATGGGGTTCGACGGTGAGCATATTCTCCTTAGGTTAGCAGAGCTAAGCAATCTGATTGGTCGATACTTTGTGGAGTGCGATGAAACTCTGAATATAGATTCATTATAGGCCTATCATTTCCTTGACTAAGTTCGATGGTGAAAATTTTCTGCTTAGACTAAAGAGCGATTGGCCAAGACATAATACCTCTGCTTTTAATTGAAGTAGAATGTTTAAACTTGATGTAGATGTTCATTAGGTGTATGTCTTGACCGAGTTCAATGATTAACATTTCGAGCTAAAGCTAAGCAGAGCTAAGCAATTTCATTGGTCGATGCTTTGGGACAAGATAACTATCTATCTATCTGATAGAGAGTGATGAAACCTAGTGTATAGTTGATAATCAGTTTGATTGCTCGATATTTTGAAAAAAATCTGCGATTAGTTAATATGTGTCATTTATTTATTTTGGCATTTTAGCGGGAGAGATCAGCCTCACTGTTGGCTTGTTGTAAATATTTTTTTCTTTCAGTTTTGGCTTTTGTGAAAAGCATGTCTATGAAGGAAAATCACAACACCAACCGATTGGCCATTATGGAAATGGCTTTAAATCGGGCTCTATGAGGATTGCTAAGGATGTTTTAGTTTTTACTCGGCATTTAAAAGAAATGAGTGTTGGAATGTTGTCACAGAATTATTTGAGTCAAATAAAAGCCGAAACTGTAGTCGTTCCTATGGTAACATGGAATATACTAAACAATATCCTTTCAAATTTTTAAATGGTTTTAGCTTCACACCGGCTATTTCCTCATATTTACGCAAACTCTAAAACGTGCTGGACAGTCTCATATATATTGAATATAGAATGCAAATGGGGGATAACGTGTTGTCATCACGGTTCTATTGGAATTGACATACAGTCATTTATAGACGGGGTTGGGAATTTTGACTCTTCTTCCGAATGTTTCCTTATGTGAAGCCAACCCCGTGTTAAAATGGTGTGATGTTTTACACAAGTTAGCCCTTGTGTAACACTATACTAACTATATCAATGGATCGTACAACTTCCATTTGATTTAATGCCCAAATTCATGTCTAGCTCTCCCCAAGTAAGATTTGGCTGGTATGGCAGTGGTGTTTGCGGTCGAATTTGTTTGATGGATTAGTCAAAAATCTGTATTGAAATATAATTCTGTGATATATATTTGTAATATTTTGCGTATGTTGTTTTCCTCTACATGTTAAGGCTTCTGACATTTCTTTCTTATAATCTAGCAAAGATCGTTTAAATGGTCTTTATCGGAACAGAACAGTAGGACGTTAAACCTCATTTCAATACGACAGGTAGAAGATGATTTTAAAATAATTAAAGTTGCTGTGTTCTAATATACTTAAAATCGGGTCCATTTGTTGGCCCAGAAAGTTGATTATGACTTTTCCGTGATAATTAATTATCAAATACCAATATGTAACATTTGAATCCAGAAACAAGACGTGCAATAGGCAGATTTAGCTCTTATATCATGTATCATTGTGTATCTTAAATGGAGACTTTGTTTGGTTATGTAATATTGTTTGGCTATAATATCAACTTAACACCTTTGAACAGAAGAGGTCCAATTCAACAGAAACTGTCAGTAATCTTCGAGAGATTACAAAATATTCGCTATTCAATTCAGAAGAGCGTCTGTTAAAAGAATTTGAATTATTAGCAGAACATAAAACAGGAACGAGACTTATACTTTACAATCTTGTAGTGTAAGTATTTATTCTGCTTCCATTTTCATATTCAATGGAATCAAAAATATTAATGTAATCTTTGCGTGTATGGAAGGCGTATAACGGACTAGAACAACATAACAAAATAGTTCACTATTTTTTCAATATTGCAGCCATTCAAGGAAGAAATCTATTGTTAAAGCACAGGAATCTGACCTTCTATCCGTATATATATGCATACACCATGTCGTACCAGACAATATATAATAAAAAAGAACAGGAATGCAATGCCTGTTGAAAACTCGATCTTACCTGCTCTCGCTTCGGCTCGTTTTTTTTTCAACAATTCGTAATGTCAGGCAACCAAACTTCTGTCAATTCACTCAGATATGTTTTTTCTTCAATCTAGTCATTTTGATTTGCATAAATACTCCCACAAAACGATATCATCGCCACTTGTTTCCAATATTTACATCGTTTTCGCCCATTTTCATTTTGTCACGATCGCCATGCGCTGACGTCACACAAATAGACGCATTCGACAGACCTCGTTTTTTTGTTGCTGGGGTTGAGGGATTCTATCGATATTCGCCAAATATGTATAGACGTTTCACTGACGCATGAGACGACCCTACTCCTTATTATGTGTTAACCATTCGGCCATTTTAGTAGCTTTTCATGTAAGCAATTTTAAAATGGGAGCTAAAGAATAAAATTTGCCTAATTTTTTTAGTACCGTACTGTAGCTTTTCATGTAAGCAATTTTAAAATGGGAGCTATAGGATAAAATTTGCCTAATTTTTGTGATTTAAACAATGTTTTGTTTTTTTTTAAATCAACTTCATAGGGCTTTGGCAGAGTAACACAAGCTGTGACAGGTCTTGTAATTGAAAAAATATTTATAAATACAATATTATGTGATATCAATATAATTTTTAGTTCATCTGATTTAACATTTCGTATTTTAGAAACAATTAAAACTAATGTAAAAATCTCAATTCTGCATAGGCTAAGTAGGCCTACTATTTAAGAAAAAAACAAAACAATTATAATAAATAAATCGTCCATTCAATTTTGAAGGGCCTCAACAGAACCATTTGTAGTTTGTTGGATTTACCAAACAGCATTTTAAAAAGGAAAAAAAACTTTATATATAGGCCTATATAAAAAAAATCCTATGAAGTTGATTTTTAAAAAAAAAAACATTGTTTAAATCACCAAAAAAAATTAGGCAAATTTTATCCTATAGCTCCCATTTTAAAATTTCTTACATGAAAAGCTACGGTACTAACAAAATTTGGCAAATTTTATTCTTTAGCTCCCATTTTAAAATTGCTTACATGAAAAGCTACTAAAATGGCCGAATGGTTAACACATAATAAGGAGTAGGGTCGTCTCATGCGTCAGTGAAACGTCTATACATATTCGGCGAATATCTGTAGAATCCCTCAACCCCAGCAACTAAAAAAAACGAGGTCTGTCGAATGCGTCTATTTGTGTGACGTCAGCGCATGGCGGTCGTGACAAAATGAAAATGGGCGAAAACGATGTAAATATTGGAAACAAGTGGCGATGATATCGTTTTGTGGGAGTATTTATGCAAATCAAAACGACTAGATTGAAGAAAAAACATATCTGAGTGAATTGACAGAAGTTTGGTTGCCTGACATTACGAATTGTTGAAAAAAAACGAGCCGAAGCGAGAGCAGGTAAGATCGAGTTTTCAACAGGCATTGCATTCCTGTTGTTTTTTTATTATATATTGTCTGGTACGACTTGGTGTATGCATATATATACGGATAGACGGTCAGATTCCTGTGGTTAAAGTATAGATGATTCTATGTGTGCAGAGTGATATGCCTGTAGTCGAACATGATCATTATATTGATGCAGTGAAATGTTCTTTTGAGTTGATGATCTGTCTTTAAATAAAGAAAAGAAAAAAAAACTAATATATTTTTGTTTCAAAACCTTTCTGTTCACACGATGAATATGATGATATTACAACGCAATTTTGTTGAAAAAAATCAATTCTCATCATTGGCAAATCCACAGTCCAGGAGATGATTTGATGCCAAATGGACTCACCACATTCGATAATTCCTATAATGAATGACGGTATCAGATATTCATAAAAGGATCAGCCTTCTGCGCCACACCCACCACTGGTACGGTTCACTGAAAGATAATTAGTTGTACACTATTTTCAGTAATAATATAGGCCAGTTGGAGCTTGATTTTGAAAGTGATCCGACAGATATACTAAATCCACAGACATTAGAAATTGATACGACCTCAGTGTACCGGCCGATACAAGAAGCTAAATCTAAATATGAAACATCATTAAAGGTAAAAATATTGTTTTAGATTTGACAATGTGTTTATTACTTATATTGATCGATGTACTTAGTTTTTTTATGACAAAGGGGGTGGGGGGGTAACACATACGCTTTAGAACATAAGGTCTGTCATTGAGTCAAGTAGCGTTGTTTCAATCTCAACTTGGACATGACAAAGGGTATGGATGTGCGTAAGTCAAAGAAGCCCGTTTAATTCAACTTTCCGATCACCGTAGACTCTTAAAAGGGGTCTAGATTAGATTTTATTTTTGCATTTTATTTACCCTGTCGTGGATTGTTCCGGCGATTTAGCTGATGTGGGCATGTTTCGTTGTCTGGCAACTGATAAGTTGTTCTCATTTCATAACTTTCTATACCATTTAAGATTTTGTTTTATAAACCTTACATTCTTCTATGTGAGCGGCGTTCATACCGAAGCCAATTGAAGATACAGTCCTCAATAACTTTATTTCAGGAATATTGCAGTATTTTGTTTTTGAAACCACGGATGAAGATATTTTTAAGAGGAAATAAGGTGAAAACAAAATTGATGACTAGAAGTTTGTCACAGACACTATACGACACATATAATCCTCAATGGCTGGTATCCTTTTAAATGACACTAAAACTCTGTGGTTATTGTTATTGGCGAAAGAAAGAAACATAGATTTGGGATATTTTTTAGATTCCATAGGGGTATCAGTTGATACGAGTGTGTTTAATGTATTCAAATTTCAAAATGAAAAAGCTTATTTATTATTTCTGGGAGTTTCAGCTCAAAATATTGAGTTAAAACTATGTTACTCAAATTTGTCGTTTGATATGGGTGACCTGATGAACTCGACAACACCGCACCAATTTTAAAGACAGGGTTTCCAGGGTCCGGATGCAGCTGTCGGTTTCAATGTCTATATTTTTGCCTGAATATCATCAGGAAACTACTAAATCATATTCCTGAAGCAATGTCCCGAGAAATCCCTCCCTGGCCATTGTTGGATTGACTTCCGATACTTGAGCTTTTGAGGGAGCGTGTCTATTCTTCTCGTTTAATCAAATCTATCCCAAGTACAGCCCTTCGTGTAATCTGGGGTCTTCCCTGAAACTTTAGACAGTGATTTAAGGTACCGGTATTAAAAACGGTGAAAGTATTGTTCGTCTCCCAAAAGTATTGTTTGCATTGTAGCCGTCTGATAGCATCGTTTGTCTCGCAATTAGTTGCTCTACAATATTCTGCTATGCACTGGTTAATTGGGCGTAATATTTCGCGAGCAGTGGCGGCGCCAGGGGGGTCTGCCCTCTGTTTGCCCCTCCTAAAAAAAAAAGTATTTGTGATACGTTTCGGTAATCAATACCTTCTACAGTGATTAAATCCCACATCCCCACTCAATCATAGACTTGCATGTTGTAGAGTCTGAGTGATTTCTTACCAAACCCATTCTGCTGTAAACCTACTATGAACAATAACACGTGAATCATTTGGAAAGTGCTTTTTACGATCTTCAAAGTTTTTGGGTATAGGTCAACGCTGCAAGAATATGCATTCACTTGATACACTCACACCGTTCGTTTGACACCACCCTCTCTATTCGGATAAGCTGGTGATTTGGCGACGAACAGTATCTGGTCAGCTCTATTTATCTCGATGACCATGCAGTGTCTGAAATGCTGCATTTCGACGATTAATGCCTGAAATACTGCCAGACTGCATTTCCGACAGTCAAGTTTTCAAAATTTTCGGGGGCTTCGTTGAGGTTCGCAAGTCCGTTGATTTGACACTGGGGTCGGATAGACTAGTGATCAGACGACAGACTGCATCTGATCAGCTCTATTTATCTCTACAATCGGTGCCTGAATACTGTCCGACAGCATTTCCGACAGTCTACATTTAAAATTTTCTTGGGGAGGCGCTCACAAGGGGACTTCGTTGAGTTTCACAAGTCCGTTCGTTTGACATTTTGTTCTCTGGTCGGATAAACTAGTGATCAGGCGATGGACGGTATCTGGTCAGATCTATTTATCACGACGATCGGTGCCCGACTTAATACTGTCAGACAGCATTTCCCGCAGTCTATTTTTCAAATTTTCTGTGGAAGGTCTCCCATTTGGCGGTCGTGATTTGGCTTTGTCGCGGTTTGACACTTTACCCCTAGTTGAAGCTCGTGCCTTTGCCCCCTTAACCTTGGACTTTGCCCCAGCTTTGCCCCAGCTTTGCCCCTCCAACCACCGAAGGCTAACATAACATAACTTTATGTAAACATATTTGGTCCTATTTGACGCTCTGCTTAAACCTGAATGATTGTGTTACGCAGTTAGCTATAATTGGTGGTTAATCGGACTATTGACCAGTCATAATTTGAAACAGACATTTGTTTCCATTACAGCCGCGTTAAGTGGGATTAGGTCTAATCAAACGAAACACTGCGAGGAGTATGCGACTAAATGGAATATACCAAAATGTGACTTTCAAAGGTTTCCTGAATATTGATAATAGTGAGATTCTTGGTACTATAGATTGGAATGTTACTCTTGAAGATTCTTGCTTGTTTTTGACTCCTTGACTCAAATAGTAAGTGCAGGGGGACTGCACCACACAAAATTTACACAAAATCAAATACACGGACAGGGCATCATACTCAGGAAAACACAAACATACAGACAATTAAAAAAAAGTGAATGGATCCGGAGGCTAGCCGTAAGCGTCCACTGTGCTGTACAGTCCCGGGTCTGTAGTGACACAGACTTCACTCAAATTTGAAAACAATTAGGAATAACCCATTGTGTAATGCCAGCATGAGTCATGATCTGCTATATGCTACACGAAATACGAATGTTAGCATATGTAGTAAAATTCAACTATACAAGTGTAATTTTTCAGACTACTTCATGTAGTCTATTTGATGTTACTTCAAACATGAAGTAATGAAGTCATTTGTCTGAAATTTCAACATATTATTCACTTTTCATTATCTACTTTTGAACTATTATAACAAGAACGGCCAACTCTTTATCTAAATCTTACATAATGTATCTTTAACCAATAAAAGGACAAACCGATTAAAATAACCTACGGGTTTAACTGCTCAGAAGGTGGTTATGAAGATTATGGTATTATGATGTACCATAAAAATCGACTGATCAAAGCCTTCAAAAAAGTTGGTTACCAGAAACAAGCCAATGACCTTGGTGTAGGCGTTGTCGGAGTTGTAGAAGTCAACTTTCTTCAACCAATCCACAATAAACAAGATTTTGAGCAAAATGAACGCTACAAGTAACCTATATATCTGTATTATAATTTTTAACGTTTGCCTTTTCCCCCGCTACCTCACCTTCACAAAAGATACATCGTCTCAGGAATCTTGCAAATTCCCTCCTGCAAAAATTCCTGCAACGCCGGTGGTAGTCACGGGAAATTGTTGTCTGTTACGATTATTTTAAGGTCCCATATTAGTCCCCATGGCAACGCCAACCCAATTCTTATTGGATTAGGTAATTATGTCCTTGGTGTAATTCTGGCCGTCGTATTACAAATATGTTTGTCAGTTTACATGAAATGAAATGGAGTTTAACGTCCTACTGTTCTGCTCCTATGGCGGGCAGCTGCACTACGGCCTACTCTTATATCGAATTCCAACTGCCAAGGGATCTTTTACGTGCACGCCAATGTGTACACGGGACCTTGATTTTTCGTCCCATCCGAACGACTAGACAGCTGTCCTTGTCAGGCCCTCCGTCCTGCATCACTGACTTTCTCGGCCAAAGCAGGGATCAAACACCCGACCTCCAGGCTAGCGAGCCAGCGTCTTACCCACTTAGCTACGTGATCCCCCTTGTCAGTTTACAAAGTTATTGACATGGGCCTTCAAACTTTTGTATTAGATGTCAATTTGTAGGCAATTTTTATGTTATCGTTCAAATTTTTTATATATGTTTGGTTGATTAATACTACGTATTTTCAGTACATTTATAACAGCACTGGCTACTAAAACCAACGATTATTGGAATGAGAAGATGAATCAATCTACTTCGGCCAGTCAGGGGTAGGAATTAATATTATGACTAGGTATCTCGCTCATTTTTCCTTACTGCTGATATTATATCATACCACAAACTCACAGCCGAGAGAGAGAGAGTGTGTGTGTGTGTGTGTTTAACGTCTATTTGACACGAACCAGTTCATTTAGTACAATTTTGTTTCGGTAATTCGCTAGCGCGAAGGGGTCTTTAGCAGTGGGGGAGGGGGGCGGGCCCGGAGAAAACGGAAAATTGAAACCACGCCACTTGACTTAATGACACACACACGTGGCCATTCGGCCACCCACCCACCCAAAATACGTTTGTTAATGGTGTGAATCAATGGGGACGTGAGAACGAGAACCGAGAACCCACGCAATATTCAGCACCCTGAACACTTAAGGAATTTCATGAAAGAGCAAGTTTTCCTTCTGAACAGGAGGCTGGTCGATGGGTATCTTTTTTATTGAGACAAGGACGCCTTGTCGGTGTAATTTCGCGCTTTTTATGGCTATCTTATATTTATTTACAGGGCTCTGCCAGATTGGTTATGGGCCCAGTGTGATAATTGTTTAAAATGGCGACGTTTACCAGATGGTATTAACAGACAGTTACCAGATAAATGGTATTGTTATATGAACGCTGATGCCTCACACAAGTAAGGATTGGCTATTAAACTTAATGTATCTCTTATGAAATGAAATGGGGATTAACGTCCTACTGTTCTGCCCCAACTGGACTATTGATGACAGGCTTCTGCCTTACAGGATGCTTTTAGGGACATGTGGCCTAGACAATAGCGCTACACCCTACTGGCTCAACCAGTTGTCGTTCAACACAGAGTATGAAAAGACTTAAAGGAGCTAAATCGCTAACATTTGGGACCCAGAAATTGACAAAAGTGGGTCGCAACGCATATAATACTGTAATATGAATGTATATAAACTGATTTACATTCAATGGTTTCCGTTTTTACTCCAATTTCAAATCAGTTATGTTCGGCGAAATAAGCCAGCAGTCTCAAGCGAGTGCAAATTTCTTGCGTCTGGTTATTCCAGTCTACATAAGCCGTTTGATTTGGTGCAATGTGTCTAGCCTCGTCCCTCGAGTCTCTTGATACAACTGGGGCTGGAGCGCATTATGGTACACGATTCGTGTACCAATGGTAAAATGTTTATTTTGTCTTAAATATTGGATATCAAAAGCCCATCTTTTCCCGGTAAGATCACAACATGAATGTTGATTCAATTTGACAAATAAATCGTGTTTTCAATGTTGAAGATTTTGGATGATATTGAGTTAGAGACTTAGCTACTTTAAGGACAAGCGCGTAGTTGAAGAATTTTGACATTAACATAATTTTTTATGGCTTGGATTTTTGGCTGGCCCTATATAGGCACGTCCCTTATTTGCCTAATGGTTAATCCGGCACTGACAGTACTGATTGTTTGTTTATTTAAGTGAATTAACAGTTTCTCTCATAATGTCACATCGGGCGCGTTAATTTTTAATTATACTAGAAAGTACTTGAGCCTCGCCATGGTTAGAAATAGTTTTTTCTCTCTTAGTTGTTTTTATGGTCGCATTCTTTCAGTCGATGCGATA